CAGACAGGTGGAGAATATTCAGAGTACGCGAAGGGTGAGTACACGAAATATAATAAATATTACAATAAAAGGACGGCCGATCATTACATGTCATTCAACGAGAGCACATTTTTTAGAAACAATTGTCTTCAATCTTGGAGGTTTTTTATTTTAACTTCCTCCGGAATTGTTAGTTTAACAACTTTTTATACTCTTGCAACATGTTGCTACATGGTGTTTAGTAGCAATACTTAAAACTAACTGAGATAAATTTAGGATTTTACATATACATTATGGCAAAAAAGTACCCGGAAATTGTAAATAAAGACTAATTATTCATTAGTATTTATTTTTCCGCCTTCAAAGTAATCCCAACCAGATGTAAGACATTTATGCCAACGAGTTTTCTAGTCATCAAAACATTTTTTGGGATAGCAAGAAAAAATCGCGCGAAGCCAAATCTGGTGAAGACGGTGGTTAATCGATGGTATGCATTGCGTTTTTGGCCTTAAGTTCGGTCACAATCGTGAACTGATGCGATGGTGCATATTATCGTGTAAAATCTATGAAAGGTTTTCCCACAATTCAGGCCGTTTTCAATGAATGTTCTCACACAAACGCCTCAATACGATCAAATATTTAAAACTCCTTAATGACCGTCTGCCAAACACATAAAACCATGTCACATCGGCAGTTCTAGTGCTCTGCCTGAATGTGAAACCGGAATTCGGAAAATAAAGGATGACCAAAGAGGCCAGTGGTGCTCTTTTWGAAAACAATTAGCTTTGTCGGGAGGAGTCAAGCAAAAACGCGTTTCAAATCCAAAATATCCACCAAAAGCACTTTAACGGAAACGCGAGAGATTTCGAGCTCTCTTACCATCTTTCTAACCCTTGCCTAACGATTTTCGTGGCATATCCTCCACTTTTTTAATATATTCATCAGTTGAAGAAGTCGAAAGTTACACTTTACAGTATAGATATCAAACATCTAGGAAGTGGTCAGAATAAAAATTTGCGGAAATAATTATCTCAAGGTACTTCATCTTACTCCCAAAAAGTCGAAGTCGGAGAATAACTTTTCAAGAACGCAGAACCCAGACACGAAATATGTGAATCTGAGTGCAATGACTGAGTTCGTAATAACTTGAAAACAGCTATAAAGAGCACTAAAATTGAATTCTGATGAACAGCTGTATTTGGCCGTATTTCACAAAGAAGGAATTAAATATTCAGACTGTAGTTCATCGACTTCCACTGCTTCAAATCCGGTAATGCAAWGCATCAGAAGTGGCCACAGATGTCGATTACACATTATATGTGCCAGTATTCATACTAACTAATTTATAAAACCTGTAGATACCTTCATATTCAATATTCGTTTGATTGCTCATATTACTATTTTCTTTCACGGAAGATGGTTATCTTTCTGTCATTTATCATTTCTTTTTATTAAATCTTGCTGCTGCAGGTGTTGAAAATGATGATATTCGCCGTTTGTTGGTTGACCCTCCACATCTATTTCATATTCACATCATCTGGCGCTGACACAGACTCCTTTCATTCAGGAAGTCTATTTAGGCATCTATTGGCTGGCCATGGGTAACTCCATCTACAATCCGATTATCTACTGCTGGATGAACTCAAGGTGTGTATATTTAAGTTTACAAATGCCAGTCATGAAGTCGACACGTTTTTAATTCAAATGGATACGTGACATACACATAAAAATGTTTTATTTCACTTGGCAGGGCAGGATAGATGTGAAATATTTTTTTAAATGAGCGCCGAGCAAAGTCAAGTTTATGCAGTTTTGTGTAATTTTGTGCAATTTTCGAAAACATTTCGTTTAAAAGAAGAAATGAGTAAGTCTCGTGTATATAAAGTTGTGAAAATTTACTAGAACCTTGTAATTCGTTTTCCACCTTTAGATGTAACCTCTGCCTAAAACATATCAAAGACACTATTGTTTAACTCCAACTGATTGAAGAATTGTTCCATATAGTTACATTATCATACATTTACTTTCTTACTTCCCCGAATTACATTATATTTCTAGATATATACATTACCGCTCATTGTTTTTTATTCAACCCGTGCCTCAATTATTTTATTTTACCACATATTAATTTACATAGGATTTTTCATATAAAACTTTAAAAAAATTATATACAAATACAAAACTTTTCGCTCTACACAAAAGTTGTGAATGATTTTTTTCATAAAAAAGTTAAGCTTCAAATATACTATCATATATTCATATAGTGCACCATGTCGTATGAGCAACACATTATAATAATCACTTGAATGCTTAGAATATCACTTTTTCAAAGTTGCAGATTCACTTTCTTAATGCAAAATATCAAAACATAAATGTAAAAAGAAATCTGAAAAAAAAATGAAAGGCTTTTTTGCATTGGATTCTTATTTGAAGAGCATAAAGTAAAACATTAGGGGACGTTTAAAAACAGAAACCATCAACTTTAAAAGTAACGCATACCATGGTGTACATATGTATACGTAAATATATGAATATATAGTCTACAGATTCGTACTTTGCTTACTAATAGTAAATATGTAATGCTATGGTCAACTCTTTGTTCTCATTTTTTATTATCACCACATAACTTCTCATTCATTCACACTTATTTCAAGTTCTACTTATGGACTTAAGGATGTTCTCAGACTGAAAAAAATATTATTTGTTGTCACAATTAATCTTTAGAAATTAATTTACTTCCCTATAGGAATTTTGTTTAGAACTTTTGTCCATATGTCTCTTCTCTCTCTGTMCTAATACAWTYTATTTTTTATGCCTCAACGTGAAATCAACGTCAAAGTTGAACTTAACATTGTGTTTAAGTTAAATAGTTATCTAATGGAACATTTAAAGAAAATAAACGGAACCGAACTTTCACAATAAATCGCTTAAGCCTTAGCTAAGCACAAATCACCGGTATTCACAGCTTTATGACAATGTTTTAATTAGAGCAGTTCCAAATAACGCAGCGGTTTCAGCGTAACTCCTCACACTCTTAGTGATTAAGAAAAGAGTATGTTCCATAGTGCGAAATTCAAAAAACTGCTGGAAAAGAACTCTATRTGATGTCAGGCGGATATATAACAGTGAAGCCACAAACTACTGAAGATAAGCTGTTTGGAATGCTTGACGTTGTGAGAAGTAAACGTCGAAGGCTGTGTATATAACAAAATTGGATAAGTAGAAAGTTTTTAAATTTTTGCCAATTTTATAATAAAGAATAAATAAATATTGTATTAGAATTTTGCCAACTTTATATATTATAAATTATTTCGACCAGATGAGAATGCAGAGTAATTAGAGTTTTGAGTAAAACACAACGGAGGAAGACTCGTGTGAACTAAATTCGATAAACATTATACCATCGGAAAGAGGAAAATTAATGCGTTAGTATTATATTTTGAGAGATAATCGAAACCATTACCATTAGTGTAATTGGGTACAGCATCGTGTTTCAATCCATCACCAGTATTCTGGCTTTTGGAATTAATAGCGGAGCTGTAACCTACAGAATCAGAATGTTGCAACGATTGTAGTATACAAGGAGCAAAAAAATAGTAACACTTTGTTCATAA